AAAAAAAAAAAAAAAAAAAAAAAAAAAAAAAAAAAAAAAAAACTGTCACAGAGCGAAAAGAGCGAATCGGTAATACTGTACCCTCCACCCGTGCATGTTGTGAGGTGAGGAGTAGAAAAATATATATGCAGCCATCTTGGATTTTGATGTGGAAACCCAGTTTTCAAGAAGAACCTTTTCTTGCTCCTAGATAAAATCACACACCAAAATGGAAGTTTGTGCTTCAGTTATTTTTCAAGTCATCACCTCACAACATGCACGGATGGAGGGTACAGTATTTCCGATTCCCTCTTTTCGCTCTGTGACAGGGTACAAAACACAAAGGGTGACTCAGCGCTGTTGCGCAGCCCTGTAGTGGTTATATTCACCCTGAGGAGAAAATGTGTTGTTGTTTTGACAAATTAGCCATTTCAAGAGGAAAGGAGACATTCACGACTGTGCTAACAGCATTATATGAAATAATTATGTCCCTGAATAATCTGTCGGCCTTCTGTGTCACAGTAATATTTACCTTCTGTTTCCTATAATAGGTTAGAGGAAATTAAACTGAAGTGTATTAAATATACGAAACTAACTGGTAAACCTAACATCAATTTGCTACCAGTGACGTCCCATCTCAATCTAAAAAAACATTTGAGCACAAAAACATGTTTCCACTGTGAAGGTCATCCATGTGTTTCAGGCTCGGGTTCCTTTATGAGCTCAAATAAATAAGCAGTTAGTCCCAACTGAAAAGGCCTGTCCATGAGCATTTGTCATTATTATTCTCCAGGCATAAAATATCCCTGATAAGAACTGCAGAAAGAGGATTTTAGATTATCACGCAGCCCGTTCCTTTGTGACTGCTGGATTTTTATTTTCTTCTGTCAAGCACAAATGTGCCAAACAAACAACTCGTAACACGTTTTAAAGCTCAGGAGAACTTAACGGCAAACCTGCGAGAATCTAATTATTTACAACCTGAAACGAAGAGATCCACACACAAACGAGAGAGGCTGTTTGTCGGTTTGTTTATTTGCTCTTTCTCCAGCACAAGAGAAGACGAAGAGACGACAGAGTGAAGAAGGCTCTGTCGTGCAAGAACAGGAGGAGAAAGAAGGAAAGAAACAGAGAGAGAGAGAGAGAGAGAGGAGAAACCACGTGGAAGAACCGGCCCGTGAGAACCAGCCAACAAGCATGCATAGGTGTGTTATCAGTCACACTGCCTCCGGTAAAACAAATCCAATTTTATGCAGAATTTTACAGAAGCCATCTGATTTTTGCAGCATTTTTACAGCAGTTTATTAGAACATGTTTAATTTTTTTTGCCACACAACTCCAAATTGTATATATATTTATATCATGTGAGCTTCGAAACCCCTTTGACTGATATTTTAAAATGACTTCAGGTAGTGATTCGTCCAAAAAATTAATAAAATCATCGGACATTTTTTTTATTACTGTACACAGACAAACATACAGACAGAGACACAAGTTTACAGAACAGAGGGAGAGAACAAAAGAGGAGAAAGGCAGAAGATCGGAGGCAGATTTGGACCATCGTGCCTGAAGACGACTTACTGAAACGTCTGGAAGATGGCAGTAACTTCCACACAGACACAAAAGTAGAGAAACTTATGAGAAAGACACGATCAGTGAACCTTAACATCCACAGAAATATATTTGGCTTCATGTTTGCGTATTCATTCATTGAGATTCAGGTAAAGAAGATGAAAATTATAAAAGAAAAGCAAAAGAACTCGAACTGAAGCTGTGTTTCTTCTGCGTGTTTCCCGTGAAATGAGATTTTTTTTTTCTGTTAAACAGTCGAGCCCAAAGAAGCTGGGATGGTTTCAGCTTTAACAAATATAGAGCGTTAATCTTTCCACATTTCCGAGTCAAAAAGAAAAAGGATTACATGAAATCATAAGTTCTGTACAAGTTATTTCTCCCGACCAAGTAATTGTTCAATAAATAAATGAATACGTGCCGTCGTGTGAAAACAATCTGTTTGTGGTTTGGAGCTCTGTCAAAAAAGTTTTTATGACCTGACTGAGTCACGACACGACAGGAATTCTTAAAGTGAAGTACAACCACGATCCAGAAGACGTTGTGTAAAATGTAAATAAAAGCAGAACGTTTTGATATGCAAATCTCACAAACTTGTATTTTAATCGCAATGAAACATAATAAACATATTAAATGTTAAAAAATTAAACAATGACGCAACAAAATGCTATAAAACTGAACATAATGACTAAGAAACATCTGTAAGAGCATTTTAGAGAGGCCAAGACTCTCAGAAGTAAAGATGGGCAGAGGTTCTACTAAAAAAACATATATATATATATATATATATATATATATATATATATATATAGTTAGTCTTCAGTTCATAAAACCATAAAGATTTTAAAAATCTGCAGAAATCTCTGCTCTAAGGACAAGCCTGAAAACTATTACAGGACGTTCGTGACATCCCTGCATGACAAACAGCTCTGACTCTGACTGTACAGGCGCAGGAACACCACAGATCATCGTGCCATCCACAAATGCAGGTTAAAGCTCCATCATGCAAAGAAAAAGCCACATGTGACCCATATCCTGAACCAGTTTTCTCTGGCCTTCATTTAAAATGGATTGAAGCAAGTGGAAAACTGTTCGGCTGCTCCGATCAATCAAAATTTAAAAGCTTTTTTTTTTTTTTGGAAACCATAAAGCCATGCCCTCCATAATGAAGACTAGAGGGACTTACTGGTTTGTTATCAGCGCACAGTTGAAAAGCCTGCCTCTCTGATGGTATGGGGGTGCATTAGTGCCTATGGTATGGGCAGCTTACACATCTGGAAAGGCTCCATCAATGCAGAAATGTTTATGGACAACATAAGAACAGCTAGAATCCTACATCAGACAAGAACGTGACAACATTTCCCTCTGAGAACTCCAGCTGGTCTCAGTTCCTGGACGTTTATAGACTGTTTATCAACAAGAGTTACACACGACCCTGTTCTGGCTTTTTTATGTGTTGCTGCCATAAAAGCCAAAATGTCCTTATATTTACCAGGAAGTTGTGCATTTTTAGTTTAAACATGTTTACTTTGTTCAGGATTTACAAAACTGGCCAATTATTGCAGCTGTTTTTATTTACATTTTACACAACGTCCCAACTTTTTAGGACCCGAGGTTGTTCACAGGATGATTATTTTACACTTAGAGCTGCCAGACTATCTCTGTCCTTGATGTTTATTCTGTGTGCACAGAGCTCCAAACCCAAACAAGACCGCTTTTCATCCGCGGCCCCTATTCCAACTTATACTGGAAGGGATTTCAACAACTCGGTAGAAAAATAAACATCGTCCCCCATCATTGCATAAAGAAGCGACCGCTAAACTCATTCACGTCAATAAATCATCCTTTTTTTGTCCTCAGAGTTCCTCACACGATCATCAATGTGAGAGAAGGTGCTCCCCAGCAGAGAAACAAGATAACACCAGTTGGTTCTGTTGTTGTAAAGTGAGTCGTCCACGGTTCACGACTCCGCTTCTCGCAGGGAAACACAAACTCGTCCTTCGATGTGGGAAAGCAACAGATGAACCCTCCTCCATCATCGTCGGCATCACTTCCACAAGCCCAGGCAGCTGCTTCACAGTAGTGACGACGAGCAGGAAGACACCGGTCCGCTTCTCCTCCAGTGTTCGGTCTCAGTCTTCGGTTTCGTTACCTGATCGGATGATCCACCTCAACTGCTGATGGACTCGCCGGGTTCAGACACCCCCCTCCTGCTTTCATCGACTGCTCAAATGTTTCATTTGTGTTTAAAAAAAAAAAAAAAACTTGCAAAGCTTTGAGAGCAATCCCAAACTAAAGTGGGACTCGAGAGGCGTAGAAAAATAAAGAAATCAAACTGTAATCCAACAGTTGTGACTGTGAGTGAGAGGCAATTCCTATATACTTTATTTACATTTAGTGTTCGTCTGCCTATTGCTGGTTACAATTTAGATATTCCCGTTTGTGTCGTGTCAGTCTACGTGAGCCAGTTTGTGTCCCCGTGTTTAGTGTTCGTGCACTGCCCTCCGTCTTCCGGTACATTCAAAGTAGTGGTTGTTGACCTTAACGTGTTGTGATGGACGCCTGTAGAAAACAACAGAGCAGCTGAAGGTTTGTGTTGTTGGGCGGCTCGGTTTCGCTCGTCTCTGAACTCCGTAACGTCTAGAGCTCAAAGGCAAACTGTTCCGTCGGTTAGATTGCATTAGTGCAAACTAGTGGTTGGGGGGGGTGGGGGGAGATTCTCCGTCGTGAAGCTTGCCGCTCCCCGCAGGCCCCACACCTGGGATGTGATGGTTCAGTGCAAAGTCTTTGTAGTGCTGTGTAGTACAGGTACTCTGTGGTACTCTGACATGCATGCATACAGTAGGAAGCACACTATGTTACAGTACAATCCTCATCTGTGCAGAGTTCAGTGTGTGCAGGCAGCAGAGCAGGCGCGTCCCTCGCTTGTGCCTTCGCCGGTTTTGTTAGAGGGGGTTACTCAGCATTTCACTGAAATGAGGTTTTCAGAGCCTACTTTAGTCGTGTGTCAAATTTTTGGGGGGGCTGATTTATTTGGAGCAGACTATTTGATGCAACAACAAAAAGAGAGCGAGAATATAACGGCTGTAAACAGAGCAGCTCTCCGACTGAACCTGCATGACTGTTTTAAACACAGATTTTGTTCTTTTTTTTTGCTTTATTACAAAACAGTTCTTATCGTGTGGACGTATGTTCACTTTTTATCAGTTATAAGACGATGACTGGACCGAGGTGCTTGTTTTTAAAAAGAGCATGCATGTTTCTTTCCCCTCCTCTTCATCACGGTCTTGTTTCTACCTCCCCATGGAAATGCTTGAGTCAGTTGGTGCTCCTCCTCCTCCTCCTCCTCTTCTCTGCTCTCAATCTACTTTTTTCACTCCTTTGGGATGTAAGGCTTACAAAAAAAAAGGTGTCCATTGTTGCACGAGCTCGTGTCTCGCTGTGAGTCTTTGTTGAAATCTGATGCTCGCCATTTTGAAGGAACCCCGACCAAAAAGTTTTTGATACCTGAAAAAGGAACAGATTATTAAACGTACTGCTCGTTCCTCGCTGACTGACAGGTCAGTTTGTGAATTGGGAGGTTTTCAATTGGTTGCCATGGAGGTAGATGGCCCCTCCTCCTCTTCCTCCTCTTCTTTTTCCTCTAGAGTCTGAATGAGGCCAGAGGTGACATCGGAGGCCTTCCGCTCTGTGACTGGTTCTGCAGGTGGTTGCCCCGGACTACTGCCACCTGAGGCATCCCCCTGCTGAGTGGGCGGAGTCAATGTGGCCGAGTCTGGCTCCATGGACAACATGATGTCTTCCTCCTGGTCAGGACAGAAGCAACCGATGACACAAAGAAAAGTCAGCAAGTTCAGGGAAATATATGAACCAAAGAAGTGAACAGTTACACTAAATATGAGCTTTCATAATGCAGATTACATCCTGTAGTCTACATGACTGCTGCCTGTGCATTTATAAATGTTTCTACTTGACGATGAATTACAAATAAATAAAATACATGTTCAAACAAAGAACTAGCATTTCTTATATTGCCTATTACCTTTCATGCCAAAGTTTGAAACAAAGATCATCTTTCGCTGTTCAAAAATGACTGAGTTATGCCATTTTGGTCTTAAAATTAACTTTAATCTCATACAAAAATACAAGATGTCACATGATTTGTTAGCACATGGAGCATGTGTCGTGCTTATACCAAAGTTTAGCTCCACATCTGCAAAACTGACTGAGTTATAACCATTTTGGGAGGTTCTCTGTCTGTCGGGCCTGGTTCTGGACTGCGGTCTGAGGGCAGCTGCTGTGGTCCCTATTACCATCAAGCTGCTGACAGGACCTGCTAACAAGACCACGCCGCTAACAGAACAGAACCATGATGATGAAAGAATCTCAATGCAGATGCTTTTCTTTTTCAACTTTGGCACCTTGTTTTCAGAGTCAGAAATTTATTTGTCATACACATCACACGTGATACATGAGGTGGGGCGAAACTATGTACGCAGGGTCCCAGTTACATCCAACAAAAACACAAACTGTAAAGAAAAACATTAGTAAGATCCGAGTCATGTACTAAGAATATACTACATTCACTAAACTAAGAATACACTAAGCACTAGTAGTACAAAAACAATGCACCAAAACAACAGCAGCACGAACATGAGTCTGTGTGAGCAGATGAGGACTAATGAACACAACAACATGAAATAATCAGCAGCATGAGATCAGCATCATGGATAGTCAACAGCACATAACAACCAAGTGGCATTACAGCGATTTTCACAGTTTTTTTCCACACTGATTTTTCACAGTAATTGTCACAGTGATTTTTTTTCCTGGTTAGATTCATGAGTCTAACAGCCTTTGGGCAGAAGCTGTTCCTCAGCTTGAGTCAACCCAGAAGTCCTGAAAATTCTCAAACACCTGAGAGTGAGGCCTTGCTGGTCCCTACATGGCCCTGGGGAAAACAACCCTGGCTTCAGCATGGAACTCCCGCAAAGCCATCATATCCGACGTGGTAATGAGAGGAATGGACGCATATCCTGGGGGACTGAAACATCTTCCTTTGATGACGCAACAGTGCCAAGTAAGTTAGTTTAGACATGATTAATTCATGAATCTGAGATAAAATTACCTAAATTTTAATGTTAAGAGCTAAGAACCGTAGCCCAAATTGAATCTAAACTCCTTCTCAAAGTCTCCATATTTACATTATTCACTTTCTAAAATAATACTATTGGCTGTTCATTCATATTCCATATTTGCCATAATTTTCATTGTCATAATTCAAATTTAAAATAAACGTTACAGAATTGTGTATTTAAATTACCGGATTCTTTGTGTTTTTCTTCGAGAGAGAGGAATTAATTTTGCTACAAGAATTCACATAAAACATACTTTTGGGGTGAGGCCTGTCCATATTACGGTTATCGTAACCACCTGGTAAAGGGTGTCTGGACCAAAGACCCATCTCACTACATGTATTATTAATTGGCTGTATTTTTCCAAAACGCTTTGATATTTCTTTTTCTTTTCTTTTTTTTTGGCGAGTCGAGACGGTTCTTCTCATCCTAAGCATTTCATTGCATTCTGATGCATGCTCAATAATCCAGGTAGAAAAATCCAAAAAAGTTCAATCTGGTCCTCTGGACATTCAAAAAAAACAAAAACAAAACAAAGCAAAAAAAATCTAGAAACGTTTCGTCTCTCATCCAAGAGACTTCCTCAGTCTGAGGTGCTGTTTTCAGCTCAGTCTCTTAAATAGCACCTTCTCAGGGTGGATCAACCAGTTTGCTGCTGACAACCAAAACCAGCTGATGGTTGTCAGCAGCAAACTGGTTGATCCACCCTGAGAAGGTGCTATTTAAGAGACTGAGCTGAAAACAGCACCTCAGACTGAGGAAGTCTCTTGGATGAGAGACGAAACGTTTCTAGATTTTTTTTGCTTTGTTTTGTTTTTGTTTTTTTTTGAATGTCCAGAGGACCAGATTGAACTTTTTTGGATTTCATTGCATTGTTGATCTTGTGTTGATTTTGCACATGACAGATAAACCAATCCTGACCAACCTGAACATTTTTGTTTTAGCATGGATTGTTTATGTAAAATGTTACAGTATTTAAATTTAAATTGTAGAAAAGAGAGGTGCAGCAGGACAGCAAAGGGTCAACCCCTCACTCAGCAGCAGCACGGACAGCACTTTTAACACTTTTATATTTTGTGATTGATGATTTTACGATGTGACATACTTTGAATTTTAAGTTGGAAGACAAAAGTTGATCGGTGCAGCTGGACAGCAGAGGGTTAACCCTTCACGAAGCAGAAATGTGGCCGTTGCAGAGAGGAGATCATGACAGGCTTCAGTGGGAGCTTCTCCCTGCAACTGTGGGCTGCACAAAGGTGCAGCAGGTGCTAAATCATTTTAAATAATTTATTTTAAATAAACAATCCATGCCGCTCGTGTGGCTCATCCATCAATCAGCCAATTGCGTGTCATGTTCACTCTTACTTTGAAAAACTGCGAAAGAGCAAGCCTGCAAATGTTGAACCAGGAAGTAGCGAGGGACTACTGTACATGTGATTTTCAGTCTCAAAGTTTCAAACTGTGCAGTTTGCCAAAGTTTTAAGCAAAGTGTGTGTGAGTTGAAGATCACTCTCAGTTACTACCACACCAAAATGTAGCTCAATATCTGTAAAATACAAAAAAAGGCCACAGGCTGTCTCTGGATAAAACAACATTTTGTGATTGCATTTACAAATTAGGTTACAACCAGTATCAGTTTCAGCTGCTGGTTTTTGTTCCTGGAGTTTTTACAGTGAAATACGTGAAATAAGAATCTTTGCAGTCATTTACAGTATTTACATTTTCACACTTTGGAATGAGTTGGAATCATGAATTTTAAAAAGAGTCATCTTTTTAAAATTAAATTAAACAAAAGAGTCATCAGTAAAACAAATAACTTGGAACAAATAAAGTAAACGAAATCTATTTCAAGGTCCATCACGGAGTTTGCCGAAGAAGAAGTAAAGTCAAATATTAAACACTAAATAATAAATAACCCTGTGTAGGATGTGAAGCTCACCTTGACCTGCTCCTCCTCCTCCTGCTGCTCCAGTAACGGGGAGTGATCAGCCCCCACCATGTCCTCCCCGGGGGGGATACACAGGCTCGGCTCCACCACCGCCGCTACGCCCATGTAGCCTCCGGCTTCTGCCTGATAGGCCTCCAACTGACCCATGTTCCACAGATCCACCAGAGGGGGGTGAACCTGGTGAACCAGACTGTGGATGGTGCTGTTGGGCGTCGCTTGTAAGGAGTGGTTGGCGCTGTGCATCCTGTGCTCCAGAGCCTGGGAACGCCAAGACGAGACCATGATCAGGAAATGTTATGGGAGGAATAAACTTTAACAGTCAGCTGTTTCTTACTTGTTTATCACAGTAATATTTACTCTGCAGTAGAAAGCATCTTACCTGGTTTACAAACCGGATTCCAAAAAAGTTGGGACACTAAACAAATTGTGAATAAAAACTGAATGCAATGATGTGGAGGTGCCAACATCTAATATTTTATTCAGAATAGAACACAAATCACAGATCAAAAGTTTAAACTGAGAGAATGTATCATTTTAAGGGAAAAATCTGTTGTTTCCAAATTTCATGGCGTCAACAAATCCCAAAAAAGTTGGGACAAGTCCATTTTTACCACTGTGTGGCATCCCCCATTCTTCTTACAACACTCAACAGACGTCTGGGGACAGAGGAGACCAGTTTCTCAAGTTTAGAAATAGGAATGCTCTCCCATTCATGTCTAATACAGGCCTCTAACTGTTCAATCGTCTTGGGCCTTCTTTGTTGCACCTTCCTCTTTATGATGCGCCAAATGTTCTCTATAGGTGAAAGATCTGGACTGCAGGCTGGCCATTTCAGTACCCGGATCCTTCTCCTACGTAGCCATGATGTTGTGATTGCTGCAGAATGTGGTCTGGCATTATCGTGTTGAAAAATGCAGGGTCTTCCCTGAAAGAGATGACGTCTAGATGGGAGCATATGTTGTTCTAGAACCTGAACATAGTTCTCTGCAGTAATGGTGCCTTTCCAGACATGCAAGCTGCCCATGCCACAAGCGCTCATGCAACCCCATACCATCAGTGATGCAGGCTTCTGAACGGAGCGTTGATAACAACTTGGGCTATCCTTGTCCTCTCTGGTCCGGATGACATGGCGTCCCAGTGTTCCATAAAGAACTTCAAATCGTGACTCATCTGACCACAGAACAGTCTTCCATTTTGCCACACTCCATTTTAAATGACCCCTGGCCCAGTGCAAACGTCTGAGTTTGTGGAGCTTGCTTAGAAATGGCTTCCTCTTTGCACTGTAGAGTTTCAGCTGGCAACGGCGGATGGCACGGTGGATTGTGTTCACTGACAATGCTTTCTGGAAGTATTCCTGAGCCCATTCTGTCATTTCCTTGACATTGGCATTCCTGTTTGAGGTGCAGTGACGTTTAAGGGCCCGGAGATCACGAGCATCCAGTAGAGTTTTACGGCCTTGATCCTTATGCACAGCGATTGTTCCAGATTCTCTGAATCTTTTGATGATGTTATGCACGGTTGATGATGATAACTTAAAAGTCTTTGCTATTTTACGCTGGGTAACACCATTCTGGTATTGCTGCACTATCTTTCTGCGCAACAATGGTGGAATTGGTGATCCTCTTACCATCTTGGCTTCTGAGAGACACTGACACTCTGAGAAGCTCTTTTTATACCCAATTATGTTGTCAATTGACCTAATTAGTGTTAATTGGTCTTCCAGCTGTTCAATATATGCTCAATTTCCTTTTTCCAGCCACTTATTGCTACTTGTCCCAACTTTTTTGGGATTTGTTGACACTGTGAAATTTTGAATCAACGTATTTTTCCTTTAAAATGTTACATTTACTCAGACTAAACTTTTGATCTGTCATCTATGTTATATTACGAATAAAATATTGACATTTGCCATCTCCACATCATTGCATTCAGTTTTTATTCACAATTTGTTTAGTGTCCCAACTTTTTTGGAATCCGGTTTGTACATTTGTGTACAGGAGGAAAAAGGTGGCTTTAACTGGTGTTTTATTTTATTTGTTGGTTTGTAATGTAAGTTAAAGACGTCATATATGTAGAGTTTATGAGGAGTTAAAAGTTATTACCCACCCCCGAAAACAGAGCCAGAATGATAATGTTTTCACTTGTGTCTGTGTGTTTGTTTCTCTGTACCATTAGCAAAATATTTCAAGAACCACTGAATGAATTTTAATGACTTTTGCAGAAAGTAATCTTTGGATGTACTTCTACAACTTATGAACGTTTGGAGTCAAGCTGCCAAAACGAGCTGACCTTAGAACTCACATAAATGATGCCAGTTTTACTAATACTGAGCTATGATCTGGTTTAGTAGCTTAGCATTGTCCCAAACACCTAGCACAACATTTTGCTTAAACTCTTAAGAGTCAAACTCATGTGTTAGTTTGTCAAAATATATTATAAGCTAGTAGAGTGATTTAAAAAACACCATTAAACAAGTTATTATTAGCTGTATATTTACAACTGATGAACTCAACTCAAGCTATAACAAAAAGGGCTCTACCTCAGTGAATTTTACAGATATGGAGCTAAACGTTATGAGTGGTAGCAGCTGAGCATCATTTTCTACACGTAGGCCAAGATTAACACATTACAGATGATGTGCATTCCTTCAAACTATGCTTGATTTGTATTAATATTTTAAGAGCTGAAACTGATTCTTTCCATTAGAAAAAAATCTTCCAGTTTGAACACAAGCAGTCTCACATGTTTGTCAGACATAATAATAATATAGTAGTCCCTCGCTACTTCGTGGTTTGTTTATCGTGGATTCGCTCTATCGTGGTTTTTCAAAATAAGATTGGACATGACACACAATTGGCTGATTGATGGATGAGCCACACGATTGGCATGGAGTTTTATTTAAAATACATTATTTTAAATTATTTACCACCAGCTGCGCCTTTGTGCAGCCCTTACTGCAGGATAAACTTCCTCCTGCAGCTGATCAGCTGATCAGCGTGCAGAGCGGAGAAGTGGGTGTGGCCGAGAGCGCTTTCAGGTGGCTGAGAGCAGCGGAGGCACAGAGATGGAAATCATGACATTCTGTGCTCTTTTAGAGCGTTTTATAGTTTAGAAACATTTAGAATATTGCAAGAGTGTGGGAAGAGTTTAAAATGCTTATATATATATATATATATATATATATATATATATATATATATATA